CTGTCTACAGATCATACTCTATGAATCACCCGGTTAGGATTTTTTGTCCGGACCCCGGAAGACTGAGAACATACGGTTTATACTGGATTTTAAAGGCCATTGGCCAGGTTTCTCGTTTTTTTCCCGTTTGAGTTCGAAAAACTGAACCGGGTGATCGCTTCCTTTGGGTTTTGCGCACACACCGCAACAAACCGCATCCCGATCCTAGCTGTTGCGGTAGAGAGATTGCAAACGCCGCGAAGCTTCTTATGGGCACCGCTGGACGCAAAAAGAAATGGACAAAGGGGAGGAGAAGAAAAAGCTTCAAGGAACAGGGCGAAAACGTTATGGCGCGAACTGGTATCACGTTTTCCCAAGCGGGAGTTGATGCGCGCCGCTTGAAGGCTCTCGAGGACAAGGACTACCCTGCCTTGAAGCGAATATGCGTCGCTCACGTCAACAAGCTGAAACAGGCGGCTGCGGCGAAGCGCAAGCTTGCCGCAAAGCAAAAATCGGCAGAGGAAGAAGCGAAGAAGCAAGCGCGGATGCTGGAAAACGAAGAGGAGCGGATGTGTAGCATTCGGCGGTGACGTGACCGGACTTCTGGCAGGCGGAAATGCACAGAGAGTGAGCTGTACCCAGCTCGTGCATGTGGTGACAAAGAAGTCTCGGGCTTGTCCAAAATATTGTGACATGTCCGCCCATCCTGCTGTTTTGATTGGTTGGAAAATATTTTAAAAAGTCTATTCGGCTAGCGACCAAGGACATTTTTTCGCCCTGAAAAACTTCTAATCTCGAGGTCTAACAGTAGATGGCAGAGATACCTTGCGAGACCGCTCCATGTTCTGCAAGGCCGCCTCCCCTGCTCGTTGGAATGCCGCCATTTCCGCCCTTTTCGCCTCCTCCACCTAAAACAATAAACACGCGGACGATTGGTAGACAGACGCCCACCAACCGCAGCACGAACACGAAAGAGGAAAAGAGGAAAAGAGGAAAAGAGGAAAAGAGGAGAGAGTGGCTACACACGCGACAATTAAAAACCACTGTTTAATATTAATAGTTGTCTTCACTACGCGCAGGGCGTAACGACAAGTTGATAAATGACGTCATGGGAGAACAAATCGACGACTGGGGGTCCACAACCAGGAGGTTGAGAACGCCTGCTTGGGAGCAAACATGCAACCCTATCCTTAATATTACTCCTGAAGAAAAATCCTCTCCCCTCCGGAATGCACGTCAACCAGGTAACGTTTAGGTGCGGCATGAATCCTTCTTCAAAAACCATGTACTGCTATAATAGTGAAAAAGGTGGAAGGACCAACGTCAAGGACAACCACCAAAAATACACAAATGGCACATACCTCGGATAGGTATTTCATGTGCGCGTCAAAGGCAACTCGTAGCTCGCCCTCAGCGGCCGACAGCAACTCCAGCTGCGTCGCGCTGTCCGCTCCCTGGGCAGCGGCAGGGGTGCCATCCCAGACAGCCTACACAGCACAAAACGGCGAGCAGAGAAAACAAGTTGTTTGTGGGGGGGGGGGGCAGCAGTTAATGTTGATTATGGGTTGCTCAAAGCATGTTTTGGCCAACTCACCGTACACGCTCCCGACGGAAATAAATCACAGTTTGCTCTTTTTCCTAATGAAACACAAGAATCCACATCTCTCCGAATAAACAAGAGTCTGGGGGTAAAACAATAGCAATGGATTTTTTTTTCCAAAGAAACCCCAGAAAACTACGTACCCCGTTGCCGGCGTGTGATTGCCCTGCCACCGAACTGCTTCTGGTCCCTTGGCGCTTGCCGGGCCTGCCCGTGCCCTCCTCCTCCGCCTCTAGCTCTTCCAGCTCTGCTCGAGTGAACTATTGTGGCGTAGCAATCAATCGCAAAAAACAGACACAGCAGTGAGAACGGAACGTCTAATATAGAGTGTTTCGACACGTGAACACTACCATCAAGTCAGGAATATTGACCATGGATTTAGAGGACAATTTGTAATGAGGGTGCGCTCTTTATCCAATCTACTGGAGTGACGCAGCAGCAATTGCAAATGGAGAACAGAGAAAGCGAGGAAAGAAAAGAGTGTTTCGACCTCTGAACACTATGAGTATCAAGTCAGGAATATTGTCCTTTGATCAAGAGAATACTTCGTGATGGGAGTGGCTGCTTCTCCGGGTCCGATGTACTGGAATGACGTCGAAATTGCAAACGGAGAACAGAGAAAGCAAGGAACGAAAGAAGAAGAATGCTTCGACCCCCCAACACTACTAAGCTTGAAGATAGCGGTAGTTTACCCTGGACTCCATGAATTATTATTCAACAGTCGGTTGGGGGTGCGCCCGTTCCTTCTTCAATCTACGACGCAAGGTCACACAGAGAAGACACCCCTGTTCACCGTAAGGTAAACCGCCAAGACGTGGGACAAAACCAGCACCGGTGAAATGATCGCCCCTCTTGTTTCATAGATGCGTACGAAGAACAGCAGAGACATCCCTCCCTTCATTGGGGCACATCTCCAACTTGTACATCCTTCTGTGGTGGCATGCCGTCCTATAATGTTTTAGAAGCGATAGGGGGGTGCACTCGAAGTCGTGCATGCTGTAGTCGTTAGACCAGTGACCTCTGGGGGGGGGGGGTCGACTCACGTACTAGGAGTCCTTCTGTGATTGGCTGTCTCCGTTCACAATTTCAAACAATATGTCATGGCAGCGAACAAAAGGACATGGGGGGAGGGGGGCGAGGGTGCACTCACGTAGTGGGAGGTCACTCCCGACAGACCCTGCATCGCCGCCTTCTCCGACAGCGTTGCAGTCGCAGTCGGCGTCGTTGCCATCGGGGGCTTCTTGACCGTCACCATCGGCGCCACCGGCCCCTTCTTCGCGGACCCCGGGTTAACGCCCTGGGAGAGAGCCCTCCGCTTGGGCTGCTTGGTTTCCGTTCGGGAAAACCGTTCGTTCGGCGTAACCGTTCGGTGCGACCATTTGACGTAAAGCGGCGTAACCGTTCGGCGTTTCGTGTTTCATGCGGCAGCGGGGGCGGGGGCGCAACAAAAGGAAGGTGTCGATTAAACTCTTGATAGATGGCACGCTCGTTTCGACAATAAACACAGGTAGGCTAATGCCAATACGATGAATTCCTTGCTCATTTTTCTAACCGTGGATCTGTGAATGCCACCTCAGACTGTCGTAGATTGTGACGTCAGATGAACTGTCGGAGATCTACCTTCGGGGTGTTGTTGCCACAGATAGAGTCAGTGTAGGATGGACGCTGAGCCTTGCTTCAACACAAGGCTGCTCCCCACCTGACACTCAACACAACTATCCGTACTCGTCAGCCTCTCCACTTTTGGTTTCTGTAAAAAAAAAAAGAGTTTTTCAATTGAAATTTTGATTGATGGCGCGGTAGTTTCGACAACGAAAGCCTAACAACGAAACCGATTTCCCTGTCAACAGTTTCTGGTCAACAGCGTACCCTCGCCAGCTGCTTCGCGACAACAACTACCATCGTGCTTTGCAAATTGTCGACGTGCTGGGTTCAACATCGCCGCGAAACAAAAAACCAGCAACAACCTCAGCGGCAGAAATAGCAACAACGCTGGCGCTTTGAAACCTGTTCACGTGCTGGGTCCAAGATCGTCGCAAAAACCAACAACGACCACGCTAGAGGCAACAACAACAACAACAACAACAGCAGTGGTTGCTCTGGAGCTTGTCCGCGTGCTGGGGTCCAACAACACCCCCGCAGAAACCAACAGCGACCACAACAGCAGCAACAACACCGAACACCATCGCTGGCCCCACCTGTCTGTCGTCCATCTCGAGCTCCCTCTCCTTCTTGGCGAGGGCGGCGGCGGCCCCGCTGTTGTGTCTCCCCAGGACGAAGTCGTGCAAGGGGACCCCGTTCTTGAAGCAGCCGAGCAGGGTCTGGCTCTTTGTGTTTGGGGGCGGCTGGAACACCGTCCCCGGGGCGAACTTGACGGCCCCGTCGATCACGGNGGGGGGGGGGGGGGGTCGGCAAATAAGCGAACTTGACGGCCCCGTCGATCACGGCGTTGGTTTTGATGATGTGAACAGGCTCTTGTGCAGTAGGTGTCGCACTATAGTGCCGGCTGAACAGTGCCAAAGTCCGGCGTAGTGCCCGGAAATTTTCTTGACACAGAGAGAGGCCTGAACAGTGCCAAACCGGCACTATTGAGGGCTTCCCGCTATAGTGCCGGTTCAGGCACTATCGAACCCGTCAACAGTGCCCGTTCAGACTCCCCCCCCCCCC